ATTGTTTATAAATGCTATATATTCATGATATAACTATGAATACTTTGTTTTGGAATGGATTTTCATTTATTGATACAAATTTAAGGCCAATGTTGTAATATGTATATTTCACCTCTTGTTTAGGTATTGTGTTTATATAGCTCATTTAGAAATGAAATGTATAATGTAGTACATATTATAGATAGTTACATATAATAGTCAAAATGTATAGCTAAGTTAGTTAGGATTTCTAGATATACAGATATATATTTGAGATAAATAGTCATTCTTCAAACCTTTCAAAGACCTACAGAATATGGCATTTAAAATGGTTTAGGGTTTTTCTTAACAATGATGTACAACTGCTTCTGGCTACACCACCTGTGTGAGCAAAGAAGATGGACATCGAAGAAACTCATTATGGAGTTTACTTTCAATATGGCAAAACTAGCCATTTGTGTAAGATACTGCTTTTGTCTGGACTGTTTAACTTTATGCTTTATAAACTGGACATGCAGGACCCACAAGAAAGTGACTCCTGATACAAGATGGACATTGTTACAGGGTTCCTGCTTCATGGAAGAGTCTGCCAGACAATCTGCAGGACACAGAGTAAAAAGACTACAAATTGCCAATGCAAATGAACAGTTTAAAGTTTCCTGCGTTTCTTAGGATTCTGCCCGACACAGTATGGCTTATAGGCTGAAGATGGAACATTACAGAAGAACTTCGGGTGACTGATCAGGTAGTAAGATGTCTCTGTCATTTTTAGAGTTTATATATTAAACTTCTGTGGTCTTTGATGGAGTTGAAGACAAATAGTTATAGTTTTCCTTAGTTAAGTTTAAAGATAAGTTACATATAAGACTTTAGATTCACAAAGATAGGATAGATGATAGAATATTTTCTTTAAATCTTGCTAAATGTTAATGGACTAAACATTGTTAATTGTGGTTCTTATTTGATAACTGTTTTGTTATATATTTTGCTATGTTAAGGTTAAAACCCTTTTTATTTTATACAGAAAAGAGGAGATGATTGTTGTGAGCGTGTATTCCCGCCGGCTTGGTCGCAGGGCTGCGCCAGCCCCAAATAACACACAGAGATGCTGTATTAGATATAAAGCTGTTGACCTGTTACTAGTGTTTCTTCCTGTCTAGCTATGTCTTAAATATTAACCAATTTCTATTATTCAAAGTATTTCCTCATGGTCTTATCTTACCGGAGAGAGGGTACAAAGTTCTTCTCTTTCTGTCCTACATTTTGAATCTTCCTACTACCTCCCCTGAATTCTCCTTGTCTCCTAGTCCCACCTATCTTGATTTCCTATTGGCCAACAGTACTTTATTCATTAACCAATAAGAGAAAAATATTTACAGGATGACATCTCCCATCATCTCTTCTTTTCTGTCTAAGTGGACAACAGCTTTATATCCAAGCATCTCTGTGTGTTATTTGGGACTGACAGGGCTGTGGGACAAGGCTGGCAGGAAAACCACTCATTTATTGAAATGAAACATAAATTTCTTATATTTCATATATTTTCAGTACAGATTTTTAAGATAAAACTAAAAATGTTTGACCCATATTTATATATGTGTATTAATTATTAAAGGGAGAAAAACTAATTAAAATAAATGAGAATTGATCCAGCAATATTTTCTGAAGGTGTGTTTCTTTCTGCTTATGGCAAGGGCAGAAGGATCTGGTCCCCAACACAGCTGAAAGTACTGGCAGATTTAGTTGCTGCCTCCTACACACTCTTTTAGATTACAATTCTTTTAGATTACAGCCAAACCACAGATCCATTCTCCTGGAGATGATGTAAGTTTCACATAACAATTTCAAAGAGATATACATCTAGGAAAACAAGAGAACTAAAGATATACTATCATCATTAATGCTATTTACCTTTGTTCCGTAATTGCACATACTTAAAAAGGATTGTTACAGAGAAGACCATGAACCACAGGAATTGCAAGACCATTGCTATTATGTTTAATTTATGGAAATGTTGCTCACATCCAGATGGACATCCTAGAATAGAGAGAGAGTCAGAATAATTAAAAGGAACTTAGGAGTATGAAACAGTAACTGAAGGATAACAGCATGAAAAGGTGGGCATCATTATTCCTTTCATATTCATGTCTAAATAGAACTAAAGCATCATATTTGTTATGTGACTAGGACATCTCAGTTGGATTTGTAAAACTACCAGAAATAAGTGAAATTTCCTTTTTGAACCCTAGCAACCTAACCTACCACAAAATCAGTTATTGTGGGGATAGGACACAGCTCAGCTTACAGGAGTCCTCATCAGATCCAACCTTGGACAACAGTAGCTCTGAGAAAAGCATTGGCTGAAATGAGGGTATTTAGTGAGATCCATGGTTTCTAAAAACTGAAGTGGCTTGCTCCTTCAGAAATGTCAGTAAACACACCCACACTTTGAGCCTCTAGGATTCTGTTCATAAACTGAACAGATGATACACAAATGTCTCAATAGATTAACAAATATGTATCCACAGGATAATTAATCTTCATATCACCTTCCAGAAAAGGATGAACAAGACTTTAGAAGTAACTAGAAATATGTTTAAACAAGATAGCACAATTATGACTTTTAGTCTCTGGATGACATGGAATCAGAATTTGGTGTGTGTGTGTGTGTGCGCGCGCGCGTGCATGTGTTTTCAGAATCACTATGGGGCATATTGTGTAGAAATTATATGATATCAAAATAGAATAAACCTTTCATAACTACCTTGGAATAGACTGTTTCAGTGACTAGGTTTTCTTCACAGTCTGGAAGATGCAAAGAAGAAACTTGAAACCAAGTTGTTGGGGGATATTTGATCACACTGTGAACCCCAAGTTTGCATTTGCAGTAACTAAATGAAATTAATCTTGTGTCAGGAGGCTGAGTTAGCAACTAGTTGACAGAAGGTGATCATAGAGCCTCATAGGACATCCAGGAGAGGCAGAGAGACACAGGAAGTAGGAGGGAGGGATTTTGAATGACAAGGCTTGTTTGTGTACTTTGGTGGGGCTGAAGGACATACATTTGGGAGATTCCAGCAAGGAGAGAATGTTAATTAGTTTCTGCTCAACCTTTCTGAATTAACAGGTTTTTCACTCCATCTCTTGAATCTTGAGTCTTATTTATAAATAGAACTATAGAGTTTCAGTTAACGCTACCTTTAGCAGCATTGACAGAGCCAGTGCCTGTGAAAAAAGTGATCCCACCAGGATGAAGCCTGAGCAGACAGGCTGGCTGAAATAGCAGTAGATTAAGGCACAGACACTATGCCAAAGTTAAAACAACACCAAGTACCAAAAGTAATATCAAAATAATATGGAATGAAATTTTGAGCCAAATATACATGTAGGCCAATCTTGGCTATATCCCTTATAATCTGTGTAATTCATTATGTTCTCACCCCTAAGATAAGATGACAGTATAAGAACTAAAATTTAGGAATAATTTAGATGAAGTCAATAAATTGATGATCACAATTCTTGGCATAAGGAAGTACCCTCTATATAATTCAATAATTAGGAGCCCATGAATTAGATAAACTAATAGAATGAATAGATTTCAACTTCTCCTTTGAGTCACATTATCTTTGAATCAATGTTAAATTGCAGCCTTCTTTCATTCATTGGATACTATTCTTTGCTTTATTATTTGCTCATCCTCTGAATTCTTGTGTCTCAATATAGTTGCTTTACTTTTCTATAGTAAACAATATGTCTTGTTTTGTCATCGGAGTTGGAAAAGGTCTGTTCTTTTTCTTTAATTTTATGTGTGTAGGTATTTTTCATACATGTATGCCTGTGCATTATTTGTATACATGATATCCATACTGGCTAGAAGATGATATTGGATCTCCTGGAACTGGAGTTATAGACAGTTTTGAGCTGCCATACAGGTACTGGGAATTGAAGTCAGGTCCCCTGGAAGACCTACAAGTGCTCTTAACTATTGAGATATTTCTCCAGCCCCAAAGGTTGTTCTTATACTAGATTCCTATGTCATTACAATTATGGAGTATGGTATATACATTTAGTTTGCATAAAATGAGAGAGAATAATTTGGTTGTAAAGGAGTTATTAATTTATATAAGTACCTCTTCTTCATATTAATTTATTAAAGACTAATGCTTAAGAAACTGCAATTATAAAAGTAATTGAGGGGTTGGAGTGATGGCTCAGAGGGTAAGCATTTGCTGTGCAATAATGAGGATCTGAGTTCCCATCCTAGCACCCACATTTAAAAACAAAAGAAGTTAAGCTTGGCATTTGGCATATGCACCCATAAATTAGTGCTATGTGTGGCAGAAAAGGGGGATCATTTTGTTTTCTCGCTGCCAGCCTAGCTCTATGTTCAATGAGAGACATTCTCTTAAAAGAATAAAACTGAGAATTATAGAGTAGAAAATCCAAAGTTCATCTCTGGTCTATGTGAGTGGAAGCACAAATCCAAGCACCTGAACACACAGATAACACACACACACACACACACACACACACACACACACACACACACACACACACACAGTCCCCATAATTCTGGATTTTGTGGTCACATTAAGTCTATGCTAGAATAAGACTCACATGCCTCAGTCACTCCAAGTTTGAGGTGATAGAAGGTTACTCCACTGTGATGGAAATGGTATTTCTTAAGAAAAGGAAGATAGCCTTTAATTTTCAGTATTTCAATTAGTTCTCCTTTTAGTGTTTATTTTAGTTTTTAGTGTATTGTATTTAAAGGATATAGAAATTAACTGTGGATCAGTAAAAGCTCAGGAAATAGTCATAGTAGCCTTCATCCCCAAAACAAATATTGACTTAGTAATCTCACAGTTGAGAGGTATAAGTCCAACGTCTGTAAAGTAAGAAGTAAGCTGTGCATAAAAGTGGAAAATGGATCTAATTTAATTTTAAGTAAACTCGACTTGTGACTTAAGGCATAAATCTAAAAAAGAATTCTTAATAATTCGATCCTTCTGATCAGTTACCTGATTTTATGAAGATAACAATTAAAATGTATAATAAAAATAAAACGATTGATATTGAGATGAAAATGAAAATTATTTTTTTCATGTTATTCTCATTAAACAGGGCATCTGAAAAAAAAAAAGAAGAGAGCATCTTTAAAATAGACATCAAGGAGCAGCACCCGACCAGGAAGATGCTGGCAGGAGAGCAGGTTTCCCCTCCAGGTTCTGCAATTCTTTGTATACTTTTTCATCTCCCTTCCTTCCTTCTTCCCTATTTTCCTGTCACCCTCCGCCTCCCTCCCCCATCTCTTTCTGTCTCCCTCCCAACCTATCTTTCTCATCCTCAATTCTTTTCATCCTTCCCTGTATCTTTGCTCTCCATTCTTCCTCTTTTTCTCCATTCCTTTCTTTTATCCTTTGTTTCCTGATCCATCCCTCTCTACCTCTCTCACTTTCTTCCTTCTTAACTCTCATTTTCTGTGTCTGACTCAGAACCACACACTAGTAGACTGTGTGGAAACTACAGTCAATTTCTGAATACTAACTTCATCTTGGAGATATAATTCCCACCTCCAAATTCTCCCACATCAATACCTCTCAATACCCATTCAATTTTGTGCCCTTGTTTCCAAAATAAATTATTCAGGTCCAATTTGTATTGCTATGTACTCTCTGAATGTGTGGCCTTCCACTGGATCCTGATTGACCTATCAAGAATAACATTCTGAAAAATGTTAATTCTCCCTTCTCAGCAGTTATTAGTTGCCAGAAGTTCATTAAGTAAAGTAATCTCCCTCTCTCTTTTCTAGGACTTTGTGTGGGTTGAGCTTGTGCATGTCTTGCAGATGTTGCCACAGCCACCTTGAGTTCACATGGCAACTGAAATGTGTACAGCAATTTAACTCAAGAGGCCCACTAGTTTTTTCCCTAAGATAAGCTCACTCCAAAAAAGTTTCCTCTATTGACTGAAAATTCAACTTTCACGATTCTGTTCTAAAACCTTAGAATTATTTTTTAAGTTTGTCTTTCACCATATCTTTAGTGTATCAGTAAGTCCATTCATCTCTACTTTAAAAATATTTGCAGTATCTTACTCACTTTGAAGCGTTTCTTATCATATGACCCAAGCTGAATTCAAATTCTATCATCATCCTGCCTCAGCCTTTCAAGTGCCATCCTGCCTAACTTTTCATTCCTACTCATTCTTGTGAAATCTGATATTCCAAAAGCTGTTGCTAGAGAGCCCTATTTAGTCACAGCAACACATTTGTTTCAGTCAATTTGCTAATTCTCCAGCACACTGCAGAGTTTTCAAAAAAGAGAGAAAACCATACCTTTAGCTAAAGTAGAAAAATATTGCATCAACTAGTGTCTAAAGACACAAACTCTCCCCACCCACACACAGTCTGTTCATATTGGAAACTCAACTTCTGCACATGGGTATTAGTGAAAGATAGCGTTGTTGAACATATGACATTTTCTTGATTTGATTTTCATTCATCTATCATGTCTTCTAGGAGTGAACAATGTGAAAATAATCACATAACCTGCATTTTTATGGCTATTGTCTCTCTCTCTTTCTCTGTCTGACTCTCACTCTTTGGTATACATCGCATTGTCATTACAATTTCTACGTATATATAGAAATTTTAAAATTCTAATTCTAGCACTGAATACTAGGTGACAGTAAACAATATGTTCTAATGACTTAGAATTCATAAAAACACCTACAAAGTATGCTTATATTTTTAAAGAAGAGAATATAGTTCAAAATGATATACCACGTTTATCTTACTGAACTAACATCGTGTTAAACTTGCACACAAAATGAAAATTTATTGAGCTCTCTAGAGCTTTAAGATTTACTTAATTATAAATTTCTACCATTTGCCTTTCTTCTAATATAATACACTTAACATTCATCTTACCAAAACCAGTATCATTTATAAAGAGGCACCCTCAAAGAATGTTCTTTGAGGGTAGTAAGTCTTTTAACATTAATTCATTGACTTATAGTTTATGCTTCCAAGTTGACAATTAACCCCCATGACTGAGTACTCACTTGATAGGATGAGATTTGCTTGCTTCTCTTCACCAGTTAGAGGGTTAATAACACAGCATGTGATACTTTCCTGTGACTGGTTTCTGAAAAGAGTCATGTTTACGTGGAAAAATCTATCTGCATCCTGTGAGTGTGATATTGAAGAATATGGAACTACTTCCCCTTTGCTGTCCCTCCACTCCATTCGGGGTCGTGGGAACCACCCTTCTGAAAAGCACCCCACAATGAATCCACCATAACCAGAACTCTGAACATGGATTCGCATCTTCAATCCTAATGCTGGTGGAGATGACAAGGAGAGAAAAAAATAGTGATTATGCTGAGTTTGGACTGACAGGTTGGGGGAAAAAAGGAGAGTCTCAATAATATGTTCTGCAGTCTAATAATATGGGTGAATCAACTTTCATGTTTTATTTTCAAGTTAGGTTAACTTATTGCTATGTGATGTCTATTTCCTGCGTAGTGTATTTTTGAGAGAAGTGTGACTTTTACTCATTACTTGGCTATTTTAAAAGCATAAAATATGAAAAAGCTGTAACAAATATAAAGACAATTTCCATGTTTTTCAGTTTATTGGGCATAAGGACACTGGTATACTATGTTCTACACACAACTTACCTGCCACACTGAGGTTCACACTGGCCACATAACTGAAGACACTGTCATTAAATGAACACCGATAAGATCCATCATCAGCAATGCTGATATTACGAATTCTGAGGGCCACTTTTCCCTTCCCAATGGCCTCTTTCACAAGCTCTATACGATTCTCATATTCAGGTGCAGCTTCTCCATCTCCTCCACGGCTACCTCTGTATAGGTAAACAGGTTGGGAATGGCCACTCCTGAACCAGCGCACCTCCATATACTCCACACTGCGTGGTGGGGTCACTTGGCAGCTGAGCTCAGCCTGGCCTCCTACTCTAGCCACCAAGTGTTCAGTGGGAGCAGTTACCATCAAATTCTCTATGGAGGAAAATTGAAAATCAAAATAAATCTGAAACTAACAAGACTGCTTCCACACATTGCTTAGAAGAGCATATCAAATCCTGCCCATAAGGCCTAACTGATCTAAATATTCAACAATGATCACATTCATCTTTATCTTTCAATATTTTAAAACCAATGCTAGGTCATTCTTATATTTAAAGAAGAATCTAATGACATAGAATCCAAATAATCTGTCTTTCTACTTAAGAATTGTATTGAAGAATCTGTCAGATATTACTTTATTGGAATTCTGTAATCTATTGACGGATTCTTGTCAGTTTCTGTGATAGTATTTGTGACAAAATATCTAAGAAAAAATTTTAATGAGAAAATATATATTGCTTCATGGTAGAGGAGGCTTCACTTTATGGTAGGTTTTTACCACTGTTTCTCAGTCCTGCTGAAACAGAATGTCAACCTGGAGAATGTGAAACACAGTTGCTTGTCGCCAGAAAGCACAGAGAGTAGAAGAGAAAGGACAAGGTCTTTCCAAAGTGTTCTCCCACTTGTCTAATTCCTCCAAATACACACTTAATTCTCCTTCAATAATCTCACAGTATCATGAATCCATCAAGGTATGAATACATTAATGGAGGCAGAGATTACCAAAGTCTTATCACTTCTCAATGGTTGGATATCACCATTAAATAAACCTTTAACACATGTATGTCATTGAGGAGAAATTTAAAAGACAAATCATAATTAAGGTTTTTATTTATTTACGGTTATTTTATTTATAATCATTTCAGCTTTTATCACAACACCACCTAGGCCCCCTTAGTTTATTGATGAACAGTTTACCATGTTCTTCAGGGCAGTATGGGTAGCTTATGAGAGCCAGGATGAGCAAAATCAATATTATTTTCCAATTAATGGAGAGCTATGTTCTGATCAATGATTATTGCCTCTATCACATAAGCATAGACCAAGAGGTGGTTAGTTATTTCTGAAGCTTCTCCTGAAGTTAAAACCTTATACTTTCCTAACTAAAATTGTTTTTTTTTTTTAAATTTTGGTCATTTTAATTTTTTTTTTTATTTTTGAAAGAGGGCATTCAAAAGCAACTGTGTATAGGGGGGGAATTTGAAATAATGCAAATGCACAGGGAAACAAACAGATTCTATAGTCAGCCAAGGAGAAGTCTTAAGCTTATAAGTGATCACAAGCATAGACTACGAGAAGCAAAATCAAAAGCACTAGAGGAGAAGCAAATCCTGGAGAAGGAAGGAATCATATTTTATAATGCCATCATATTGTTGGAATTAAATGTCTAGTTATCAACAACAAAAATCCTAACACACATGAAGAATCAGGGAATCACAACTAATGCAAAGGAAAAAATAAATCAGAGAGTCTCCCTGGAAAAGATGAGATGATAGCTCTACTAGACAAAGACTTTTCAAGCAATAATCTTAGTATGCTCAAATACCTAAAGGATGAATAAGCCAAGAAAGCATATATAAGCATGCTAGAAATTAAATCTAAAACCTGGAAAAGAAACTTAAATTCAGGAACTGAAGGCCTCCTCTACTTCATGCCACTCTTTTATTCCCTGGTCCAAATGAACAGTGAAAAATGATATAATAGTTTCCATTAATATTTTAATGCTAATGTAGAAACTTCCTTGTGAGAGTTGGAAACAAACTTGAGATCTACTGACAAACAAATAAGAAAAACATGATGTATACATATAATGAAATATTGTCTATAGTTAAAAAATAAAAGAATCCTGCCATATACTACAACATGGGTGCTCTTAAAGAAAATTATTTTAAATGAAATAAGACAGCAAGAAAAAGAAAATATCTGCATGTGTCCAGTCACATATTCTAAGTAGTTAAATCCATAGAACAAGAAAGTAGAATAGTGATAAATTGAGGCATTGTGATGAGGAAATGAGGAAAACACGTTTAATGTAAATAAAAACAAGAATGTAATGGTCCATAAAAGCAACTTGTTAACCAAAGGCTACCATCATTGCCATTCCTTTCCTTGCTATGTAATTCATAATTGATGAATAAATTGCTCTTACTGTTTCAAAAATCCTGTTCTCTATTAGATCAATTAATAAATTTTGGATTATTTTACTATCAACTTTTCTTTCCCTAAATGTATTTAGTTTTGATTATCTGTCTTTGCCATTTTCCTTCCCTCCAATAAACCTTGAACATGTTTTTCAAGACAGAGATACTAATCACAAATACTCTTTTGTTTATGTTTCTCTAAGATAATGTCTGTGTATCCTTTATATTTGAAAGATAATTAATGCATTGTCATATGTAATTCTAAATTCGCATGGGTTTCCCTCTCCATGCTTTAAATATTTTACTTCATCTATTTATTGATTGTATGGTTTTTATAAAATTGGACGTGATTTTCTTTTTTGGGCGTGGACAAATTTCCCCCTTTTCCTTCCATGACTGCTAGCATTTAAAATTTTAATCTTCCATTTCATTATACTTTGAATACTACATGCAGGGGTACATTTTTTGTTTGTTTGTTTGCTTTGGCTCTTACCCTGTTTGGTGTTCTCCAAGGCTGATGAATCTGTCGGGAATTTAAGCCATGGTTGCATTGTATGTATTTCTCTTCCTTTTGCCTTCCTTCTTTGCATTACCAATGCCTAGATACTATAATTTTGAGAATTGTCTGAGTTCTTAGATTTTTCTCTGTAAAAATTTTACTCTTTCTTCTGTGATTAATACTCAAGGTCAGATGTTCTTTTCCAAGTATTGTCCACTCAGCCTACTCATGAACCCATAAAAGAAGAATTCATTATTTCTGCTATGGTATTTTTTATCTATCAGTTTTTTTTGTTACTGTCTCTGAATTTCTAGTTCTGCTATATTATCCATTTGTTCTTACACATTATCAATATTTTTGCTGTTAGATCATTTACAATATTAATTAAGGTTGTATTAAATTTATGACCTGAAAATTACAGGCTGTGTAATTTAACTTGCTCTATCCCTATGGACTCCAGTTTTGATTAATATTGTGTCCAGGAAATTTTGTTGGAAGTCAAATGTACTACAATGAATGTACCCTGATGGTATGTTTCAGTGATGTGATACTATTAATATGTGTAGGGGAGAGATAAGAAGCATTGTGCAAAATTATGTAGACTCAGCTCTTTAGTGAACCTGTGCATTCTTGTTGTGATCTTTCTGTGGGGCTTCTCCATGTCTCTGTCTCATAAGAGAGACTCCTCCTTCTCCCAGGTCATTTTAGTCAGGTCAAGAAATTCAACATGTAATACTGTGGGAAAATAGTTCATTTTGAAGACAGAACTAATTAAGGTGAACATAGTTCAGAATGGTTACTTTCTCCATCACTCTGTTCTCACCATGAGAAACTTGGTAAAAAATTCCTGGAAGTAAAAGGTACCACCCACAACCTACCAATTATGGGGCTTATGTGATGTTTCTGATTCAAACAGTTCTACATCTAGGCTCTAGTAATGCAGTTATTTAAGCTTATATTTTCCTACTTCACAACTTATTTTCTCACATCTTTCTTCTCTTCTCAGAGTTTTTCAACCTGGTAAATGTCTGTTCCTTTCTAGCTTCTACCTTGGGTGAAAATGGTGCACCCAGTAATCTCACACATTTTTTTGAATCTAAGAAGAGTTGATGACATTCACACTTTGATTTTTTAAAGGCTGGTTTAAAGGTGTCCACAAATACCCAGATAAAGAATTAACAGATATTTATTGGGGGAGCACTCACACAATGATGTTAAACAACTGCCATGTTCTTCCTGATCCTGGAGATGCAGCCCTGCCCATCAGGTTGTTCTAACCACAACCCAAGAGATGAAAAATATACAGAGAGTCTGGATACTGTATGTTATTTGTTGTCTTTGAATTGTTTGACTACAAGGTAGGAGCAATAGCTGCTAAAAGACATTTGATCATAAATGCTGCTGAATTAACCAAACATATATATTTTGAAAATGCCTTGACTTTTAGTTTAAGGCTTAGGGCTTTTAATGCCAACGAGACACATATGCTTCTGGCAACACCAATTAGATCAGAGAGGATAATGGGCACCAAAGAAACCAATTATGGAGTTAACCTTCAATGTGACAAGGATAGCCATTTGGACAAGAAACTGTTCTTTCCTGGACTGCTTGGTAGTATGATGTCCAAACTGGACAAGAAGGCTACAAAGAAAAGTGACTGCTGAACTTGCTAAGGGACATGATTTTCCTTTATGGTTCCTGCTTCATCAAAACCCTGCCAGATAGTGGCTGAAGAGGGATACCTGAAAGTTACAGAGATTTTGGGTGTCTGTTCAGGCAGTGAGGATGTCTCTGTCAATTCTAGAGTTTATATATTATCCTTTTGGAGTCTGTGATGGAGCTCAAGACACATATTTATGGTTATGGTTTTACTTAGATATGATAAAAGGTAAGTTAAATATAAAACTTTAGACTCACAAAGATTGCTGATAAAATATTTTCTTTAAATTTTGTCAAATGTTAATGAAGTAAATATTGTAATTATAATGCTTACTTGATACCTCTTATGCTATATATAATTTTACTATGTTAAAGTTAAAACCATCCTTTTTTATTTAGACATGAGGATTGGGGATGTCCTTCTCTATGCTGTGAATATATGAATAAAGCTGTTTTGACCAGTGGACAGGCAGGATTTAGCCAGGCAGGAAATCCAAACAGGGACAGAGAAAGGTAACTGTCAAAGAGGGAGATGTGGTAGAGCTTCCAAGAAAGCAAGAGATCTAGGCATCACAAGCAAGCCAAGACCATGTGGAGATATACAGACTAATAGAAGTTTCCAATAAGAAGCCTGAACAATAGGCTGAACAGTTTGTAACTAATTTGAGCCTCTTAATGTTTATTTGGTACTAAACAGCTGCTGCAGGTCCAGGAAGGACAGAAAATTCCATCCACAGCTATTTTACTTGATATTGCACTGAAGTGATGTTGTTAACCTCCTTCAATATCAAATTGACAATAGAAATCCATTTTGCATCCTTTTCTTAATTACAATGGATAAGAAAAAAGTAAATGTTCTTACCAGAAGTCGATGCTATCACTTGAAAGAAAATTAAGCATATATGATACCCCCCAAAATAGGAGTATGTAAGCTTCATCATATCTGAAAATAGAAAAAGGTAATAATAAGATATGAGGTATAGATTGTCTAGATAAAATTAATTCAGAGTTTTAAAAGGAGACAACCCTAAGGTTCCATTAAGAATAAATCTCCTTAGTATTGGATAAAAAGAGATTGTCCTCTATTCAGAGGAGGACTTACCAGTTCCTTTATCCCTCTAGTTCACACTCTGTGGTTTCTTTGACCTTTTGTCCAAACTTTCTAAGTGAGCAGTAAATGTAGCAGCTGTATTTACCAAACAGTGGAAGAAAAACATTTAAAGTAAATTGATGGATGTAGGGAACAAAACAGCCAGTGTAAAGGTACACATGCCTAAATGTGAGTGAAGCATAACAAATATAATTTCAATCCATGTAACTGAAAAATATATTGCAATGAAACTATGAATGCGCTAATGTAATTTGTTAGCAATTGTATATACTATTTCTAATTAGTGGAACAGTGATGAAACCTGTTAATGAATTTTAATTGTCACTTTTATACTTTAAAATGTAAGAATGTTTTGTGAATATGTTGTTGAAAATTAAAAACAAAGACAAATTTTTACAAAAGAAAAACCTGGATAAGTTGACTTATCAGAGGAAAAAAACATCAAAGCAATTTCTTAAATTGAATTTTTGACACAAGATTGGCCATATGAAGAAACATTAGTTTAGATTAACTAATCTTGCAAAGAGACTGGAGGTTAATCACACAACTGTGAGAAAATTGTGGTTTGTTTGTTTTCTTCTTCCCTCTCCCTCCCTCCCTCTTACACTCTCTCCCCCCTAACATGCACCCTGACCACCCTCCTATCCCCCCCTTTCCACATGTAGGGCTATGCCATCCAGGTGGGGTCATGTAAATCTGTCAAGTCCTGAATCTCAGGACACAAAGGACCCTTGTCAGCATGATGAAACATGAAAGCAAATCACCTCTTTTGAAGGACTTTGCTGCCTTTCAGATTTCTAAGTCCCAACATATAATCACTCTGTAATGAAAAGATTGTCAAGTTGTGAAACTCTAAGTCTGGACTTACAGAGGCAGGAAATACCCTTTCTTCAACCATTGTCCACACCCAGATCACTTACTTGAGCTCCAGAATCTAGAGAGAATTTCTTCCCTGGACCTTCAAATATCCTCGTGCCTTCAGGTTTTCCAGCAAGGTTTTTTCAACATTAGTCTATAACAACTCCATTAGACCAGAGCTTCAACTAGTTTCCTTCAGGCTGACATTTTCTCTTGTCCATATCAATCAGTATTCCTTCAGAGAAAACAGGAAGATTGCTATTTTGTCGAGTATAAAAGCCCATGAGCTCACTCTCATGAGCAGCATACTCTATCACTCAGGAGCTCTCTGCTGTTTTCATTAGGCCTGTTCCAACACGACAGGCTTGGCTCATGATGAAACCTGAGAGAAAACATGTTTCTTCATATAGTTTCACCAGAATATTCATTAAAAATCATGCTAATGCTAGAAATATCAAGGGGATATTTTGATTGTAACAACAATATTGTATTCTGTATATTACCATTAAAAATAGCACTTACTTTTTTTACAAAGCTTTTTTGAATATTTTTAAACATCTAGATATCAGTTATGTTTTCCCCTGAAATATCTACTAAATTTAGTCATGTGGAGGACCCAGGATAAAAGAAGCACTTGGAAAATAATTGTTAGAAGATTTTTCTTATAAAATAAATTAGGAAACATTAAATTAAGAAGAACCTGGTCAAGACTTGTGCAGCATCTCTCTAAATTGTCGATAGGAAAATTTTAGTAATTACCTTGTATCAGAGGACATGGACCACTAAAACCACAAAATGTAGATAGAAAATTATGGAAGACAAAACTATAATCTTTATTTTTGATAATTCTCTCTATATTTGAAATACAAAAAAGAGAATTATTCACTCCATCCCTCAAAATTCTACCAGAATAGCAAAATGGTACCATGCAAGAACTCTTTCTACTGCCATACCACTTGGAATTTATCAAACTAAATTACTCTGGGATTAGAATAATGAGTTTCACAAGGACATACAATGTCTCATTTCTCCTCCACATGAATTTTAGAATTACTTAACAGTTTCCAATAGTTGGGACTTTAAATAAAAGACAAATGATATTTTGAGACTTTAAATCCAATATTATTCAATTTATTTAGGTCACCCTTTTCATATTTACAGACTGTTGGGTTGTCACTGTGAAATTTCCATTCTGTAAATCACACAATTAAAAAAAAAGTCTAACTAAAGTTTCTGAGAATTAGGTTCTGAAGTATAAAATGAGATGCAGGAGCTTTACTGAGGTCATGTGCACAATTTAAAGACCCATGGCCAAATGGAAGACATACTGTTTAGAAGGAGAAATCTGGGATTGAATAGAGATTGATCTTTCAAGGAACTAGGTAGAGCCTGTAGAGTCACATCTTTAAACATTCACAAAGGATCATCATTAGTTCAGAAGAAGATGTACAAAGACAATCTTCCTCTGTTGAGTAATATTCCCAGAAATGGTTTAACTGAGAAATTGTAACTACTAATTCTCCCAGTCATTAAGAGAATGGTTCTTCAGTCTACAGCAGTACTTTCTTCAGACTTCCAGCTCCTGAATAATGACATAGAAACTTACTAAGTATGAAAGCATGACCTTATCTTAGGCTTGTTCCCAACTAGCTCTTATAACTCAAATTACCCCATTTATATTAATCTATGTTCAGTCATGTGACTAGTTACATCTCCTCAGTACTATATGTCTGACTTCCTCCATATCTTGTTGGCAAATCTCAGCCTCTCTGATTTCTTCCCAGAGTCCTATCTCTGTCCAGAAGTACTGCCTACCTTCTCCCACCTAGCTATTTAGTGTTCAGCTCTTTATTAAACCAGTCAGAAGGTGGCTTGTCAGATGAGGTTAAACAGAGACACATCTTCACAGTGAACAAAAGGTTACCCCCACAACATCAGTCATATAGGGAAATTTGGTTGCTCACAAGAGCATCTGCTCTGTGACACCCAATGCACTGTTTAATCTACACACACTGTAGCGGAGGGTTATCTTGTAGACTAGAGGTTAAGTTCCCAGTGGCATCATCTCTATAATTAATCCTCAGTCTATAATTAATCCTTACCAACGTTCTTCCACCACATAGATGAATTCTTCTCAGCAACAACTATTTCTGTCACAAAAGCTCTGTAAGTCTGTGTAGCTCAATAGAAGTGATACCCCAGATCTTTGTTCCTGTAATGCCCAAGACCATAATCACTATAGCCTTCTTAAGCTAAGGGTGATATATTTGTCATTTTACACTATGTTTGGCCAAAGAACTAGAAAAGCAAGCTTATGGAGTTCGTGGAAGGATTAATGATTCCGAATGAAAGACAGTTAAATGCTGTGCATATCTAAAAATTAATTCAGTCATACACATTATATAGTACACAAATCATTCAGTATCATGAGAATCCTCAGTGGACCATCTGAGTGTTTAACTGAGTAAATTATTTACTATTTATCTGAAATGATCAACTGTTGAAAATATTGAAAAGATTCAGTTTTATTCATAAAACATCTCTATTCAAAAAAAGCTTACAGCAGAAAAACATGCAGTGAATGGGGGTTTGGAAACTGACTTAGTCTCCCGAGTAGTGTTTTCATAGCAAAAGAATCTGTGTTTCCTTTATGTCTCAAACACATCAGTATTCATGGGAAGCACATATTTCCAGGAAACCACAGATTTGCTCAAGAAGAAGGTCTTACACTGAGCTGCTCATATACAACCAGACTTAATCTTTAAATTCTGCTACTGATCACTGCAAGGCTCTATTGAAGTCAATTGCACACTCTAACCACACTTCTCACTATTAAGCAATGCACACAGCCTGGTACGTATTGCTCTAATACAAGTAGGAGTCTCATGGTTTCAGCACATCATACATCCTTAGTTAATGGATTCTATATCACTACCCTAGGGTCAATTGCTGTGCAGAAAATTATGCAATGACTCCTTATCAGATCAAATCAACCCATGCCACAAATACATCTCTCTCTCCCCCCATTATGTTATTTAACACTATCTCTACCTCCTCCTAAGATAAGTACAAATTACTTCTACAAATATACTGACAGCTTTCCTCACTTATAATTTGCTTGGTATGAGATATCAAAAAGGTGGAATTCCTGATTACACAAACAACGAATAAACAAAGAACATCATATAAACAAACAACTGAAAAAAATTAACAAAACTTTCTTTCAGATTTTAGAAAAAAAAAAGAAAAAAAAAATCAAGAGCTGACCTATGGATTCCTTAGCTGGCTTTGGACTTGGAGTGTGGTTTTCTTCTTCTCTAAACCCATGGATACTTGTTAAAAGAAAATTTAATATCTCTGTCTTACAATAGAAGAGCCATGTGGTATGAGATAAAAGCAAACCAAAATTAAGGCACTAACATTTAATATGTTAAGTTTTCTACGATGAACTGTGATCATTCCTGACAGTAACCTTTGATGATAGGGCCCTGAAAAGATGGATTAACCTGGATTGTGGTAAAGTCAGTAAACTGACAAACACCACCCAAACAGAAGTTTTGGACTACAAAGTGCTCAGGAAAACTTCAAAATGACTGTCTAAGATGGTCCAGCTTCAGAGACCACTCCAGCCTGGCCTTCATTTAAGCTCCACACTATTCCATTATGTAGAGACTGGACAACAAATGATACAGCTGACTTTTCCAGGAGCTGCCCATTTTTTCCTCAAGATGCCCTGAAGATGCCACTGCTACCAGAAAACAGGAAGGAATTTTATGAATACAACATCCCCACCAGCAGAGGAGGAAAGTTCCCCTCTCTCCACTATAATCTGTCATTGGTGTTTTTGATTTTAGCCATTCTGACAGGTGTAAAATGGTATCTCATATTTATCTTTATTTGCATTACCCTGATGGCTAAGGATGGCTAAGGACTTTCTTAAATGTCTTTCAGCCATTTTGGATTCCTTTATTGACAATTCAGTTCTGTACCCCAATTTTAATTGGATTATTTGGTGGTTTGATGACTAGTTTCTTGAGTTCTTTGTATATTTGGAGATCAGCCCTCCATCAGATGTGGGGTTGATGAAGATCTTTTCCCACTCTATGAGGGGCCATTTTGTCTTGTTGACTATGTCTTTTGCCTTACTGAAGCTTCTCAGTTTCAGGAGGTCCCATTTATTAATTGTTGATCTCTGTGTCTATGCCATTGGTGTTATGTTCAGGAAGCAGTCACCTGTAGAATTTCATTCAAGGGTATCTCCCACTTTCTCTTCTAAGAGGTTAAGTGTGGCTGGGTTCATGTTGAGGTCTTTGATCCATTTGACTTACGTTTTGTGCAAGGCACACCAGCATCCAGTTATGCCAGCACAATTTGTTGAAGACAAAGCTTGCCACTGTATAATGTTAGATGTTTTGTCAAAAAATCAGGTGTTCATAGGTGTGTGGGTTAACACTGGGATTTTCAATTTGATTCAATTGGTCTACCTATCTGTTTTTTTGTACCAATAATAAGTTGTTTTCAGGACTTTAGCTCTATATTAGAGCTTGATATCATGGATGGTGATGCCTCCAGAAGATTCTTTATTGTCCAGGGTTGTTTTGGCTATCTTGGGTCTTTTGTTTTTCCATATATAGTTGAGTATTGTCTTTTCAAAGTCTGTGAAGAACTGTGCTGGGATTTTGATGCAGATTGCATTGAATCTGCAGATTGCTTTTGGCAAGATTGCCATTTTTACTATGTTTATCCTACCTGTCCAAGTGCATGGGAAATTTTTACATTTTCTGTTATCTTCTTTAATTTATTTCTTCAAAGAAGCAAAAAGAAGCAAAAACCTTGCTATATAGGTTATAGGTCTTTTACGTGTTTGGTTAGTGTTACCCACAATATTTTATGTTGTTGGTGGCTATTGTAAAGTGTGATGTGTCTCTGATTTTTTTTGTCAGCCTCTTTATCATCTGTATATAGTAGGGCTACTGATTTTGTTGAGTTAAGTTTGGTTGTTCCTCAGGAAAATGGGAATCAGTCTGCTATAGGATCTAGCAATTGAACTCTTAGGTATATACCCCAAATATGCACACATCCATGCAACAATGACATCTGTTCAACTATGTTCATAACAACATTATTATATTAGCTAGAACCTGGAAACAACCTAGATGG